TGGGAGAGTTAGAGTGGGAGGGTGAACCAGCCCCAAGCTCTCCCTGGTCTGTGGATGGTGACAGCTCAGAGAACCTCCAATAGCTGAGGGAAGACAACACCCATTTGGCTGAGCAGGAGTGGATCCAGTCATCCAAGCCACATCTGAATGATGACAAAGATTCATTCCTGGATTCCCATCACATGCTTGGGAAGGCCATCTGTTGCCACCTGTGGCTGTCCTAGGCTGAAATGGAGTCTAGTTGATAACAATACTCCAAATGGCACTGACCGTCTGCTCATCGAACTCATTTCCTTAAAAGCTGCTCACCACTCAAAACAGCATTTCTGAGAATCTCTAGAGAGAGGTATACACACTGAAATGGAGCAGGACCCTATAGTCCTTTCCCCCAACTCCATGTCTTCCACCTACCTTTTGTCTTTAGAAAAACTTTAGTCGAAGAATAAATTTAATCAGAGAAGTGAGAAAATGTAAGAGCAAAGGAAAACAGTCTAAAAGGACATAATAATATTAATTTAGTCAAAAGTCAAGGACCTTTATTTCCTCCTCAAGGATTATAGAGAATATTCTGAGCCGTATCCTTTGAGCTGTCTTGTAGATATACTGAAACCCCAACCAGGTGGAAGTTAAGTACACAATGACAAAACTGCTGCTATGACATAAGCTGCTACAATTCTGAGAACTGGTCTCAAAGATGTGGGAATAAACTAACCCTGGAAATGACAATAAAGTTGAAGCTAATCAGACCACCACACGACAAATTTCAAGATTACTGTTAGAGCTGATTGTGCTGTTTCTGCATGTAGCCCCATCTGTCTGCCTATATATCCCTGAAACTCTTGCCCACTGATTATCAGTGGTGGGGAGTCAGCCTTCGGACAGGAGTGCCCCACCCCTCTCTATTGCCAGCCTTTGAAACAAACTCCTTTCCACCAACCTTGCCTCTTTATTGCCTTCAGAGCAGTGAGCAGTTGGACCCCACTTTTGATAACAACACCATGGAGACAGTATATGGGTTGGTGGTGCAGTGACCATAACCAAGTGGGAGTACCTCACACACTCATTCTTTAAACTCCCACACACTCATTCTTTAACACAGAGTTTAATAATGGGGCTATAAAGTTCCAAGTGCTATGGGAGACCAGGGGAGCTTCTCTGACCTCTGCATGCTGAGGAACCACTCAGGCAGGACATGACATGTTACACCTACCTTGGGGCCCTCTAGACTGGATGACAAGAACTGAGTTGTGGATACCTGCGGCCTAAGATCATCATGAAATCCCAGGGAGAGACCCGTGCCTACTCACCCAGGACATTTTCAATCAGGACGGACCACAGAGGTCTTGCTCTCTTTTTCCCTGGGAGAAGCTTTTAAGGTCTATAATGTAAACATTCCTTTGTTGTTGTCATTTAGTCTTTAAGTGGTTTCCAACTCTTTTGCAACCCCATGGACTGTGTAGCCTGCCAGGCTCCTCTGTCCATGGGATTCTCCAGGCAAGAATACTGGAGCGGGTTGCCATTTCCTTCTCCAGGGGATCCGACCCAGGGATCAAACCCATGTCTCCAGCGTCTCCTGCATTGGCAGGAAGATTCTTTACCATGGAGCTACCTGGAAAACCCATAGGCAGCTGAAAACTCATCTGACAATTCTCTGGGACTGGGGTTCCTGAAACTTGAATACATGCTCAGCTCAAAAGAAGAAGTGTAATTCCAGTTTATTGAAAATTTTACACAAACAGTGGGTAGAGTATTGCAAACAATGTCAAAAAGATTCTGACCTTGGCTTATGTATTTTGATTCTGGTTCTTCAAAGCCAGGTCTCACAACACCCACTAAGCTGCTTTCTACAGTCACCCAGGACTCTCTACTTCAGGGTTTTTCTCCTCACCCTTGGCACATGCTCGATGTGACCCAAAGCCAGTTGGAAGTGTGAGAGCTTTATTATCCCTGGAAGTAGCTTTGTTAAATAATGGTTGCGGTTTTGGTGGCTCTATACTCCAGCTTCCTTGTCCCATACTTGAGATGGATTTGAGGTGCATTCTACATAGTCTCCCATCATACTCCCTCTATGAATAACCTCCAGTTACCCCTAGTGCCCACCTGCTAGATCATCCCTCTTAATTGGCTGCCTTCCTTCTAAGTTTCACTTCCCCACACACTGCTCTCTAAGGTTCCCTCTCAAGTAAACTATTTATATTCACAGGTTTGTCTCAGGGTCTACTTACTGGAAATGCACACATAGGCACCATATACATGAAAGATGCATTTAACTTACTCTCATACTCAAATGTTTGGCTGAGGTAGAATTCTAGGTTCCAAATTATTTCCCACCAATATTTGAAAGATAGAGCGTATACCATTATTTTTTTCTTGGGTGTGACTGCTTGCATTTTTTATATATAAGGTCTCTGTGTGTACATTCCTGGAAAGTAGACCCTGAGACAAACCTGTGAATATAAATAGCACTTCCATCTGGCCTTGGGTCATGTCCTCTATTGAGGAAGTACCTCAGGAATATGGAAATGGGAAACAGTAAAAGAAATGTCTGCATACTCACCTCCCAGCTAAGGAAATAAAACTTCAAACACAGTGGCTCCATTTGTCCCTCATGTAAACACTATCCTGGATTTGGGCTTTGCCATTCTCATGTCTGTGGAATAATTATGTAGAGCAAATAGGGGTCAAAATGCAATAATATTGGAGCTTCCAGATTGGTGAACATATGGAGATGCAGGCAGAGTGGCCTGCCTGGTGAGGGCACAGAAGCTCTGTGTCCTTTCCTCATACCTGGGCCTATGCATCTTCCTTCTGGCTGTTCCTGCATTATATTCTTTTAAAATAAACTGTTCATCTAGCACTAAAAACCTCCTGTGTTTGGTGGTTATGAAGCAGAGAGACACCGGGGAGAAATTACTTATAATTTACCAATCAAACAATGGTATTTTAACAGCAATGATAAAATGTACAGCATTGGAGATTTGATTATTCACCTCTTAAACCTTATTATAGGTTTCCTGGGTAGCTCAGCTGATAAAGAATCTGTCTGCAATGCAGGAGACCCCAGTTCAATTCCTGGGTTGGAAATTTCCCCTGGAGAAGGGATAGGCTACCCATTCCACTGTTCTTGGGCTTCCTTGGTGGTTCAGACAGGAAAGAATCTACCTGCAATGCGGGAGACCTGGATTTGATCCCTGGGTTGGGAGGATCCCCTGAAGGAGAGCGTGGCAACCCACTCCAGTATTCTTGCCTGGAGAATTCCATGGACAGAGAAGCCTGGCTGGCTATAGTCCATGGAGTCGCAAAGAGTCGGACATGACTGAGCAACTCAGCACATATCCCCAAACATATGTGAAAATGTTAACAATACTAAAAGGTTTGCTGAACTTTTTGCTATGAATGAATGAAATCATTTTCAGAATCATGGAATTACTGGAAAGGAAATGGTGAAAAGTCACTGTTGTCCATACAAAATAAATATATATGGAAACCAAAGCCCAATGGAGTCTTTTATTTTCCAACTATTGAGTGATAGACATATTTTAGTTTTACAAAGCAGAGAAATTAAACTGTGTTCTATTTCTAAGAATGCTGATATACATGAATGCAATTAAATTCTAAATTTTCTTAAATTTAAATCTAAGTGATTTAAGTGAAGCCTTTTTAATTACTAATGATCTTTAATTATAAACTTCCAGAATCATTGTTTAAGTTAAATGGCCTTTTATAGGATTTAATCCTTCTGTTCTTTTATTTAATGACATGGTTCAAAGTTACCACTGCCATAAGCATAGATTCATGCCATGCTTCACATTAACTTGGCTGTGTTAATTCTGTATCACTCAAATTAGCTGAACTCTATCTTTACTATAGCATTCAGTTGGTAAAAACAATAAATTCATGTTGTTCCTTATGTAAAAATGTGTTTTCTTTAGTCCCTGTGATAAAGAGAAAACAATCATTTTTTCCATTAAAAAAAAAACAATAATTTTGTTCTCTAACCCCTCCCAATGCCCTTGGGTTCTTCTTTCTCTGCTCCCCATCATCAGTCCCAGGGTCAGCCTGATGATTTTTTGGAGCACTCTCAGATAATAGAATGTCTTTGGTGACTTTAGCATTCCTCACAATCGGTATTCAGTAGTTTATATGTCCTGTTCAAGGTAATAATCACAACTCTAATCTTCTTTCAGTGTCAAAGCCTCTCCCTTCTCAGGCCTGGCCCAGGCTGCAGCCTGCAGTAGGAAAGGAAAGCAGGGTGTAGCATGATGCTTCCACTGGGGCTCAGCCAGCATCTGCTTCCCTCCCCCTTTTCACCTACTTGTCCCCCAGGGTCTGTTGCACACGAGAACAAGAGGTCAAGGTCACAACCAGTCCCCCTATCTGGGTCAACTTTGTGGGAGTGTGGGGTTTAGTCACTAAATTGTGTCCCACTCATTGCAACACCATGTTGCAAACCCCATGTTGCAACCCTGTTAGGCTCCTTTGTCCATGGGGTGAAGTTTAGCAGCTGTTCAAATCTGACTGTTTAAATTTTTTCCCTTGGCAGGGTTTTTCATAGCTACTTTAAAGACCACATCTCTGTGCCTTGATGTATGTAGTTCCAGATGTATGATCATGTACATATGTAGTTCCCTGACATACAGCTTCCACACAGAGAACAACACCTATCCTCCCAGTCTCTCCCATTTTAAATTTATTTGTGGTTCTGACTTCTTCCCACTGTCTCTCTTGAACCTCAGAGGAGACAAATCAAGACCCCCAAGTGGCCTTCTTGAAGCCCTAATCCCCCCTAATACTAATGAGGGCATTTTTCACATGTAAATGCAACAGATTTTCCAACTTCTCTCAAGAGGGCCCCTCTAAACTGAAATCCCCCAGCCTCTAAGTGAGTCAACATTCTCCAAAGGTGAGTAACCAGACTTCACATGTTTGTGACCTTTGGGTAGCAGGGAGAAGGGTCAGAGGTACAGGCGGCCCATGAACAAAAAACACATCAAACCAGAAGAGGTGAAAACACAGCTTCAATTTTAATGGTCCCAACAGGGGAAAGTTTTGTTGATCCACACCATTTTCGAGTGTTTTCCATAATCCTCAGGGGCTGTAGGCGGGTAAGTCACATAGTGCTTAGGCAAAGGCCAGCTCCACCCTGGTGTGTTTTGTGTCAGCCCCCACAGCCACTTTGTCAGCGCCTCATCATTTTTGTGCCTCCCTAGTTGCCTACCAAGTAAAAACATCAGCCTGTTTCTGGAGGCCACAGTGGGTTTTAGGTATTCATCTGCCATCGTTCTGACGATGGGTGTGGGCCTTCTAGGACTGACTTCAGAGGCTCCTTTATCCATGACTGGTTGATGCCACAGATGGGCTTCAGCAAGAGAACACAACTGAGAAAACCTGTGAAAGATGATGGAATCCAGAATTACCAGTAGGAAAAATACCAAGTGGTTCCAGAAGCCCCTCTGCATTTCCATCTTCCCTAACAGATGCACACGCACACGCACACACACACACACACACACACACACACACACGGTCATAAAATACTGCCTTGAGGCAACATCTGATTGCTTTACCATTTAATTCCCACATATATATGAAAATATTTTTAGAATCTCTATTTTTTCCATTAACATTTGTTAATTCCTGTTTCAACTGCTAATTCTATAGAGTAAATTTTAATATGCTGTATGACATCACATGCCCCCCCAGACTAATCCCTCACATTTTCTCTTCAAGGTATTTTTATAATCTAGTTCCTCAGTTCCACACACACAATCAATATCTTGTGATTTATGACTGAGATTGCACTGAATTCATAGATTAATTTAGGGAAGAATTGATATCATTCCAAAAATTAGTCTTCCTTTCCAAAAGAAAGTTACTTAAATATATTATAAAGTGTCCACATAGGAAGTTCATAAAAAGTTTCATGTATGTTTTCCCTATGTCTTTTAAAAGTTAATTATATTTGTAGATGTTTTTCACTGCTTGATACCATTTGAATAGGATATTTTATTTCTATTTCCTAATTATTAGAAGCATATGCAGAATCTATTTTTTATGTGTTTAATTTATATCAACAATCTTTCCTGATCTACTTGCCTTGAATACTCCAGGAAGGCAATACCTTAAGAAAAAGACAAGTTTGCTACCTTTTTGTTAATAAAATACTGTACACTAATAATAGCTCTTATCCCTCTTCAATTTCTTTTAGACACTGAACACACTATTTTAGTCGCTTTCCATGATGCTATGTGAAATGGGAGGAAATCTGAAAGACAGATCCTCTCAAAGAAGGGTGTGTGTGACCTGGGTCCATCTCACAGACCTCCTTGCCTCAGTCTCTTCAGTTGTCACATGAAGTTGACAACAGTAGGGTCACCAGTGTAGGAATGTATCAAATTTCTTCATAATACTCATGCTAGATTCTTAGGAAAGCACTATAAAAACAAAAACAAAACAAAAAACAAGCAAACAAAAAACACAAAAAAAAAACAAAAAAAGAAAACAAAAACAAAAAACACTACCACCACTACCAACAGAGTCCTGTCCTCACAATTACCCCTCTTACAGCCTGTGAGAACCCATGTAATGACACTAAACAATACCCACTTGGATCACTCATCAATGTCAACTATATAGTTGTTCTGTATCAAAGACTTGCAAGGTAATATGGCACGAGAAGTATGGCTACTCATAGTCAAAATTTCTACAATTAGACACCCCACTTATGACATGAACTGTGCATTTCAGAGCTGTGGCCGAGGCTGTATTTAGAGATTGAGAAAGAAGCAGAAAATTCTACCTGAGGCCAAGTTCCTGTTAGGCACTTGAGGCCAAAACTGCTGAATACTGCCCAGGAGACCTATGGATATGCAATGGGTGTTTTAACTCCTAACACAGGAAACGTCTCATGGGAGAGATTTTGAATGAGCCAGGAAAGATCGCCGAGGCCAAGAGAACTGAGTATCCTTCCAGGGAGCAGATATGAAGATGGTACCCAAATATGGGTAGTATTTTCCCCTTTTTCTAGCACCTCTCAGTCACTCACTGTTCAGCCTCACACCAGAGATAACCTAGCTGGTGGTATCCACGGCAACGAAGTAAAAAAGTTCTGAGAGGCATTGTGAGTCATCATGACTCCTCCTGGGTCTGACCAACCAGGCTCTCACACAAGGGATAAGACAGGGAAAGAGAGAGAATACTCCTGCTAACTTCTTGCAGTCTCTTCAGGACTCTCCTTTCAGAGAAACCTGAGTACTCTGGGTGATAAGCAATCCAGACATACCGAAGTAAAGTAACATTGTTTTTTACCATCACCATACTAGTCCACCTGATAAACTCCAACCCTACAAGTGGGGGATGTTATGAAACTGTCATTTGCTCTATAGAGAAGTGATGTGGAGCACAGGCTCTAGATACAGGCTTGGTTATTTCCAATCCCATCTCTCTGTAACCTTGGACAAGTCAGACGAGACCCCAAAGCAATATCTTATGAGCACTGCTGGGAACGTGTGTGTGGGGGGGTGGGGTTGTGTGTGTGTGTGTGGGTGGGTGGGTGGGTGTGTATGTGATTGTGAAGGGAAGAAGCCCCTGGGTCCGCTGGATTAAGTGTATTTCATCATCTTTTTCAGGCCTTCTCGGTTGTACTCTCTTGCTGAAGACTGGCATCAACCATTCATGGATAAAGGAAGCCCTGAAGTCAATCCTAACACACCTACATTGACCATCAAGAAGGAAGAAAAACACCCAAAATCCCGCAGAGTCTCCAAAAATGTGGTGACCTTTTTACTTGATAGGCAACTGGGGAGGCACAGAAATGACGTGGATTTGTCCAGATGGGACGCTGACATAAGCCACACACAGGATAGAGTTGGCTATTGTCAAAAAGTCATAATATCTACCTACCATGCCCATAAGTTTAGGGAAAAAAGCAAAGAAAAATTGGAATAGCAAAATCCTCCTTTGTTTCAGCTGTTAAAATAAAAGCTGAATTTTCACCCCTTTTGACTCAACATATGTTTATGCCAATACAGTTTTGCTGGGTTACCCTGGAGAGGGGATTCTGTTCATCCTAACAGTCTATGCAGAGGCTCTCAGACATAGCAGAGATGGTGAGATCACACTGCATGTCTGATTTCTTTCACCTTTAATTTAAAAAAAATCAAGGGACATTATATAGTTCTAAGTCACTCAAGGACCCATCTCTTCCCTTAGGCCTTTTGGAAAGACACCCACTATGTTGCGCTCTAAAACCTGTTTGCTTATCTTGGTGAGAAGACACTGTTTAAGAACAGGCCATGAGGTGTGGGGGGTGGTGGCATTTAAGACAGTCTTTTTAAAATGTTGATGCTCATGAGAATATCATTTAAATATTCTGCAGCATCAAATCATCTTTGTTGGCTCTATTTACTATAAAAAATCATAACACAAGGCATTTAAAAATGGGAACATACATTCAGAGCTTTCTAATGGTATTACTTGTCATTGTCCCCAAAGAAGTGAAATCCTCAGGTCCCTTATGTGCACCATGTGAAGTACACCTGTTCAGGCCACAGTAGGTTGAACAGAATCCATTAGACTGAAGTGATGCCAGTGAAGATAGCTCCCCAAGAGATGAGCTGGGAAAGCCATGATGCCCACTGGGATACATTGGAAATGGGAAGTTGGGAAATCGGGTACTCAGAGTGGGAGCTAAGCTGAGAGGAGGCCAGGTTGAGCTGAGAGGCAGGAGCTATGGGGCTGTGTCCACTTGGAGGACTTGATTTGTTTCTCCAGAAGTCAGAATCACAAAGTTCAAAAAAAGGTAGAAAAGGGTAGAAAATACAAAATTCAAAAAGACTGGCAGAATAACAGAGAGTCAGAGAGAGACACACACACAGAGATACGGCTGGGATCCTTCTAAAGGAGTTTTTTACCATGAGATGTTTGTGGAGGCTATATGCAGCTTTAACAGAGGATCAGGATGCAGGTGAGGCTCAGGAACTAGGCTAATTGGAGAGTGCCTCACACAGAGCCACAGAGAGACATACTGGCTCCTTAATTTCTGCATGCTGCCTCTCATTGGCCAATGTATCCGCTAGCCAGAGAGAAAGAAAACCATGGCAACAGCAGTGTATGGATGTCAGCCTTCTGGGGCACAGAGCCATGGAGAGAAGGGAATAGGATTTATCTGGGTGGACAAACAGAATAAACAATCCTCCACTTTTTCCACAGGCAGCATCTACTGTTGGTTTGCTCAGATGAAGGAGCATTTTGTCCAACATAGCCAATTTATCACTGAAAGGTGAGATAAATTTGACCATAGTCCTACCTGGAAGCTAAATTATAACCTTAGTGGCCAGCTGTCAGTTTTGTAGCCCAAAGACCTAAAAATGGATAGTTAATGATCCACCGACCAAGGAGTACTTAGGGCTGGTTCACCCTGCTATCCTCACTCTCCCATGGAGACCTTAAATGACAATGAGAGGCTCTCAGCCTGGATGGAGAGGGGCAGGAACTGGAGAGAGAGAGCACAGGGGGCAAAAGGTGTTAAACTCCCTCAATATCATATATTCCCTGTATACATATTTTCCAGATATATTTAAGTTGGTACCTTAATTATCGAAATAATTACTGATAATAACAATACTCATCAATTCATCCAACAAATATTTCTTGACGATTCTGTGTGCCAGCCACGCAACAATGATCAAAAGATATAATATTCCTGCCCTCATTGAAAGAACTTCCCTGATAGCTCAGTTGGTAAAGAATCTGCTTGCAATGCAGGAGACCCGGTTCAATTCCTGGGTTGGGAGCTTACATTATAATTAAGATTTATTGATTTCTCAGGTCCTGTGCCAAATACTTCATGGGTACTGTATAGTCCTTTTAATAATGCTGTGGAGTAGGTACTCTTAGCTAGTCTTTCAGCTAAAGAAGCTATAATTCAAATAACTTCAACAATATGCCTAAGATAAAACACACTACTGCAGTGGGTAGCCTATCCCTTCTCCAGGGGATTTTCCTGACCCAGGAATTGAATTGGGTCTCCTGCATTGCAGCAGATTCTTTACCAACTGAGCTATGAGAGAAGCCTGTATTTTGCAAAAATGGATTTCAAACCCAAGCAGAGCTTCACCTAAAATCAGTGCTCTTAAATACTATGTTACTATCTATATTCAAATTAGCTAAAACTATAGCTGAATATATGGTCATAGAATATCCACATGACTACTGAGTATTTAAGTTTTATTTAATAAATGAATAAAAGTATTTAATGAAGTTATTTATTTAATAAATTGTCATTCCTCAGAGTCAATCATTCACATAAATATGAAATTGTAGAACTCATTTTGTATTGCCTTTGATAGATTCTTTCTATACTTTGTAAATTTACATGTGGCAATGTATGACAATGTATGACAACATAGATAATTTTTCAATGAAACTTGGAAGGGACACAGAGATACTAAAGTTTTGTGAAGATAAGAAGAGATTATATCACATATCACACAGTTAAACTTGCTAAAAATAAACCTCCAGTTTCCCAAATTTCACCTAACTACTGTTAGATTTATCACCCCGGTATCAGTGTCTTCTCTCTCACAGGTTCCCCAAATCCTCTCCCAGGCCACTCTACATCCTCAGAATTACCCTAGTCCTTTATAGCCTCTTGCCAAAATTTGGTTTGCCAGTCTACCTGTTAATAATAGGACTCATGCAAGCAATGAGGTTTCAGCAAAGCAGATATTCTTGGCAGCCACTCTCTTTGTGTCTCTGGCTAGTTTCATCTTAACACATTACATTTCACAAATATTTTTACAGTTTGAATTTTATATTTTGTAGTTTTTAATAGCTTGACAATTATATCTCATATTTTAAAAATCATTTTATTTCAATGGAAATTTTAACCAGTGAAAAATGTAAAAAAGGAATCTTCTATAATTGCATCCATGCTCAAGAATTAACCAGAATTAAAATTCAGAAATATATTGTGACCATGTTTCCATATGATTAAATACTTTCCAGATCACACAGTCTTTTACTGAGTCAACATATATTCATTGATTCATTAAAATATATTTTTAAATGTATTTTAAAAACATATTCTTAGACCTCTACTTATGTGCTCTTAACATGTGTATAGTGTTTGTGACAAATTATATACAGTAAATAATAATTTTTAAACAAAATTTCAGCCGTATACCTTTATATTGATCATTTGTGATTTAATACATTAGCTTTAGATTTTATGCTGCTGCTGCGCCTGCTGCTAAGTCACTTCAGTTGTGTCTGACTCATTGCAATCCTATGGACTGTAGCCCTTCCCTCCAGGCTCCTCTGTCCATTGCATTCTCCAGGCAAGAATACTGGAGTGGGTTGCCACTTTCTCCTCCAGGGGATCTTGCCCACCCAGGGATGGAACCTGTGTCTCCTGTGGCTCCTTCATGCAGACAGATTCTTTACCACTGAGCCACGGGGAGACCCTTAGAGTTTATAGGACTAATCAAATGAAAATATTAAGATAGAGTATGGAAAAATCATTTTTTAAAACATGGTTACATAATTAAGAACCAAAGTATTTATTTTTGTTACAGATTTAATTTTTCATTAAAACAGTAAAACTAGTCTCTGAAATATGTACCTTTAAAATGAAAGTCATCTTTGAAAAACTGTCATTTTTGTTGAGAACATGTATGCTTGGGGAAAACATAACTGCTTTGTTTTGTTTCTAGGCAGAAAATTATGCTCAGAGACTGAGATTGTATTTGACAATTTATGTAACACAGGTTCACTGTGGGAGATAGAGTAATTTCACAATCCAATAGCATACAGGATAATGTCTCTTAAAAAGCCAATAAAGAAATAAGAGTTCAAATCAATACTAGAGTAATGACACTATGGTTCCAGACAAGAGGGAGATGAATAAAGTCCAAATTTAGTTGAGCTGCACCTTTCTACAGCAGGCCCTCCAGAGAGTGGGCTTAGTCAGCTACAAGCAGATGCCCAGCTGCCAGGGCAAAATGTTGCTAGACCACGTTGCTAGGGAAAGTAGAAGCCATACTGGAGGACAGAGCACGTTGCTAGGAAAGAAAGACACTACATTGGCAGCCAAAGCCATCTCCTTAGGCCACTGCAGGCAGGCAAAGAATCATTTGGTCCAGGCGGGAGCTTATCTTCACCTCTACCCAACTCCTGCCCACCCCTCAACACAAAGTATTCAGAGAATTATTTAGATCCGCAAAGAGCTGCCTTGCCCAAACCGAACACTCTGGAGATACTGTTCACACCTCTTGGTATTTAAAGCTTAAATGTTCTCCAGTCATAGTCGCTCCTCCTTGTGTTCTTATGGATAAGCACCCAGCAGTGCCAGTCAATAGCGGAATTAATGTATGCTTGAGAATTCCATGGACTGAAGAGCCTGGCAGGTTAAAGTCCATGGGGTTGCAAAGACTCGGACATGACTGAGTGACTAACACTACTTCTATGACAGCCATAGATACCAATGATAACATCCTGACACAGCTTCCTCAGTGTGAACAAATTTACTCTCAGAGCAAAACAGCTTCATTCTTAAAACAAGTGGGTTTGAAATCATATTTAACAAACACACAACAGTAATTCTCAAAACTCACAAAAAATACCACATCTTATGATGAAGTGAAAGTGTTAGTCACTCAGTTGTGTCTGACTCTTTGAGACCCCACGGGCTGTAGCCCACCAGGCTCCATAGAATTCTCCAAGCAAGAATGTTGACGTGGATTGCCAGTCTATTCCCCAGGGATCTTCCCAACCCAGGGATGGAACCCGGTCTCCTGCACTACAGGCTGATTCTTTACCATCTGAGTCCCCAGGGAAGCCCCTATGATAAAGTAGCCAAACACAATTTCTGTCAAGATATTTCCTTTATTCACTTTCTTCTGCCTTTGTCTAGTGGAGATTCACTGCCTGATGGCTAGAAACACTAAAATAATGCAGCCAGTGTAGTGGTCAAAATCATTACATTTTGTTAATAAAA